TATCATATCTTGGGGGTTCAGCCAGCTACCAACCACTTGCATTAGAAGGGGCAACATTTTAGCAGTTTTGTTCTCATTGGCTGACATATTATAATCTTAGATTTGCTTTTCTTGTCTGTGATACTTCTAACAGCACCACTATTTATGGATTTACTGAATAATTTATAATACACTATCAGAGATTCCCATACAACATTTCTCTGGCCAAGGAACTTACTACACATAAGTTAGATAATGTGCTTAATTCTTGTTTTATTAACATCTCCCTCTTATGCACCTCTCTCTTATCTACTGCTGTTTTCGAATAATCTACTAAATAATCTACTAAAAACTTAGTTATGAAGCTAGCTGAGAGAAAACACAGTTGGGGTCTCTCTGGATGCAGTGTATATTTTTATCCCACAACTGATTTTTGATGTTATTTCTCCCATTCTGATATCACATAGGTCCAAGAACGAAGAGGCCTCTCACTATTACACCCAATTACTCATTCATAAAGTTTTTGCTCTTTGTTCCTATGACTCTGGGCTCTGTTTTTAAAGGTTTTACTACTTAAGGAAGGAGTACAAAAGAAATTAGTTCAAAAGAATTGGAAGTTCAAACTACTACCTGGTAATTTTAGATTCTTATGCCACCAGGTAATCAGACAAAAATTTTTTTAAAAAAAAAGAGGGCTGCTATGTTAATTGGGGTGTTTTAACCTTTTAATACAGTTGCTATAATGAGAGCAGGGAAGAGTATACAGGGAAAACTGAAGATTCTCTGGAGTGTATTCTTGTACTACCACGTATGGTGGCAAAAGAATCAACAAGAGCTTAGACCTATCAGAAATAAATTTGGTCACTATCACAGAAGAAAACTAATTTGGCGAGGTACAGCCAGAAGAAAAATAAAAGAATAGATGCAGAGGAAGGAAGGTCTCATGACCAGGCACTTAAATAAGACAGTATCTTCTACCTGTATTCTCTTGCTGTTACATATAACATGCACTTTAACCAATTTCCCATCTCTTCCCTGTCATTTGTTAATAAGTATGAAAATAACTATTTAGTGTAATTTGCAGACTATCAGTGAGAGAATGTGGCAAAACAATAAGAATGGACGTAATCTGAAGGTCTTGGCCTTGGCGATGGATATAATAATAAACAGATGTGTTGTTAGGTATAAGTATTTTTTGAAGTTTAAATATGAATAGTGTATTTGTGAAAACTAAATAGCCAAGAATGAATTATAGTGAGTATCTATCTTTACTGGTTGCTTGATATACATTCACCCATCCCAAAAGAATTCCAGATGTTGCTTTCAATTACAGAAGCCAAAAGGAGTAGGCACATGACCTAATCTTGGCCACTCTATCCAAGGACTCAACCTTCAACTGATCTTGCAAAGAACAAAAACAAATGACCGAACAAATGACCGGAAGGATTCATTATATCATCCCACTATCAGTCCCTTTGCTTCCTCCTCTTTGACCCTCTAGTATTTTGGTTCCTGCCTACCAGTTCTAAAAGACACTGGATATCCTTTCAATCAATTCCCTTTTCCTGAAGTTAGACCTGTTCTGTTGCTTGCAAAATAGGGCCATGATATAATTAAGAAAATAGGCAGAAATGGGAGAACAGACAAATATAGAAAATCTCTTTTAAAATCTGTTTTTACAGCTGTCTTATATTTTCAAAGAACTCACTTTTGGTATTGGATATTGTTACAGACTGCATGTCTGTGTTGCACCACCCCCTTAATTAATTTGTTGAAACTCTAACTCCTAATAGGATAGTATTTGGAGGTAAGGCCTTTGGGAGGTAATTAGATCAAGAGGGTGGAGCCCCCATGATGGGATTAGAATCTTTATAAGAGGAAGCAGCCTTCTCTCTCCCCACCAAGTGAGGATACGATGAGAAGACAGCTGTGAGTTAACCAGGTAGAGGGTCTTCACTGGAACCCAACCCTGATCTTGGACTTCCAGCCTTCAAAACTGAGAAATAAATGTTTTTTAAGGCACTTAGGCTGTGGTAACTTGTTATTATAACCACAGAGCCAGCTCAGAATGGTCCTATCTTGTTTAACAAGATACTAAATTGATTTTCAGAGACAAAAGAACAAAATCTCAAGTCATGAAGCAAAAGCATGTACAGAGAACTTTGATCTCCAGCTGAAAATGGAACCAAAGTCTCACCACCCCCCCACCTCCCCCCCACAATCCCACTCCCTCACCCCCCATACACAAAGAACTAAAGAACCCAGACATAATGGTAACTTGAACACTGGAACCCTTTCAGAAGCAGAGAGTCTGATGTGCAGGAAGATCCTGTGTTTACAACCCTTAACATATACGGCCAAGCTTCAAGTTCCTCCAAAAATGCTCGCCCCACCAACACTTCCGAATTCCCTATATCCTTAAAAACCCAGCCCGAACCCTGGATCAAGGAATTTGGGCTTTGAGCATTAGCTTCCCGTTCTCCTGAGTGCGCTGTTCATAAAAAAATAGCCGATCTTTCTCCGTAATTCTGTTTAGCTTTTTGATCTGTTGGCGGTAGCTGGATGAACTCTATTCTGTAATGTTATCGTAGCCCCAGCTAAGACAGATATTATCTCTTTTTAGTTGTTCTCCACTGATTGTCCTTATATTTCCTATTTCCAATCTGTTTTGGGGTTTATTCTGCTGCTTTTCCTAACCATCGATTTGTACTCAGCTTATTTTCAATCTTCCTTGTGTGATGATAAATTTGAAGTTATGAATTTGCTTTACAGTGTTTTATCTACGTCCTACAAATTTTGACATGTGGTATTTTCGTTGTAGTTTAAGTATTTTGTTAAGTATTATTCTTCCTGTTTTACAGATAAGGAAACTGATAAACATTTTTATTAAGTAGCAGTAGTGTATTTAAAACTTATTATCTTATTAACTAAAGACTCATACAGTAGTCCCCCTTTATCTTTGGGGAATATACTCCAAGACTCCCAGTGGATGCCTGAAGCCACGGAATGTACTGAACCCTATAAATACTATTTTCCTATATATACATATGATAAATTTAATTTATAAATTAGGTACAGTGAGATTAACAATTAATAATAAAATAGAACGATTAGAACAATATACTGTAATAAAAGTTATGTGAATGTGGTCACTTGTTTCAGGGCATCCCTTGCATAAGTCTTTGGATAGGTTCAATGTTTTCTAGTGCAACATGCTGTCATCAATCAGAACACATTTTCTGTTAATGTCTTCTACCCAATTTAATGCCTTTCCATCTTAACTATTTATCATACACTGTAGCCGTAACTTTTGCAGTTTGAAATGCAACAACAAAATTAGCATGAATTTTTTTCCTTCTTCACAATTCCAGATTTGTTTTTACAGTGGATCTTAGCAACCTCAGCAGATGATTTTTTTCTTATTGAGTTTTCCTTTTTCATTTAAAGCACTTTAGGGTTTCTCTTTAGCACATCCAAATTGCCAGCATCAATACTATTGTGCTTAGGGGCCATTATTAAGCAAAATAAGGGTCATGTGGGCACAAGCATTATGACAGTCAATCTGATAACCAAGATGACTACTAAATGACTAAGGGGTAGCTAGCATACAAAGATATAATTCATGACCAGGTAGGATGGCACGTGATTTCATCATGCTACTCAAAATGGCATGTAATTTTAAACTTATGTATTTTTTATTTAATATTTCTTGAATTTTCCATTTAACATTTTTTTTGGACCTCAGTTGACTGAGGGTAACTGAAACTGTAGAAATCAAAACCTTGGAAAGTAAAAACCACAGATAAGGGGGGAAAGGACACCTGTATGCTGATAACGAAAGTAATATTCTGGTAATACTTAAGGCAGAATTGAATTTGGGGATATAAACAATGAATTCTGATGAAATGGCAAATAGATTAGTAACTAGTTTTACTCCAAAATTCTTTTGAAGTCACTAAGACTAATTCAACACAGGCATACTTATACCCAATGTATCCTTCACAAGTAACTGAATGGAATGTTGTAAACTACACAAAAAGAGATTATCTGAGTCAGTTTCATAACAGATGGATTCCAGCTGCTAGGTAAACTCATCTTGATTCCTTTTGTTTAAAATGACAAAAACCAGTATGAACAGCAGAGACCAAAGGATTCCTCAAAGGATTTGGTTCATGTTACCAAATTCCAAGAATGGCAGGGTCACCACTGGGCTTCAGATACTACAGAAATGTCATTAGCAGTGTCCTTATTCTTTCCCAATGAGCTTGGCTGAACACTGGCTGTGAGGATCTCTTGGGCTGGTATCTTCCCAGCTTCATCATACCTTAATTTCAAGTTGAAAACTCCTGGGAAAAAGACTGGCCTGATTTGAGTCATGTCTCTATTCCTGTTGCAATCACTGTGACCAAAAGAGATGAGAAACTAGGATTGGCCCAGCTTTGGTTAGGTACCTATCCTTAGTCAATCACTCTGCTATGGAAGTAGGATGATTTATATTTGGATCCCATGTTAAACTAGAGGAGAGTAATTTCTCAAGAAAGAGGAGTGATAGTCCCAAAAAAATAGGGTACCAGAAAAAAATCTTACATATATTTATATATATATGTATATATATAAAACCTATATATGTACCTACATTTTATAGATATCTTATTAGATATCTACATATAGGTCTACTGCAATATTTTCTAAAGTCATAAGACAAGGAATCTGGAAGAAGCTATCCAAATTTGTGGGGAAGGGGGATTAGGAGGGGTGGAGAGAAGAAAAACTGATGTTACTTGTAAATTCCTTTGCAAAAGAAGAGCCCTTTACAAGCCACAGTGGGAGAGGTTGCAGGGAGGAAGACAGGGAGTGAAAATAGATTCACTCCAACAATCATAGAGTGGATTTGTATATATGTATTATGTCTCTATGTACACACACACACAATATTAATCTAAACAGATCATTTAAATTGGAACATCCTTTGTCATTTCCAACTAATGTTTTTGAGGAGTAAAAAAATGTTAAGACTTAGAAACATCATTAAATCATTTATTCAGTAACAACACTCAGCAGATAACATAAACACACACTGCATATTCATTTCCCATTTAGCCTGAATAAGCAGTTTCACTCTACAGTGCTTTCCAAAATGTAAGTTTTTCTACAACTAGGAAAAAACAGCATTTTAAACAGTTCATCTTTTTAAAATTGAAGTGACTTTCTAAACAGGTATTTAGAAAGGAAGTGAGAAAAATTAAGGTTTAATTACTATAAAAACAAAACTAACATTGCAATTATAGAACATTTAAATAGGAAAATTATGAAACTATATATAAAAAAATTATACATATATACATTGTATCAAAATACCTTTTCTATTTTGGTAACTAAATTTTTGAGATTTAAGAATAAACTAGTTCAAGCATTTCTAAATATAAAAATGTCAGGTTTGTAATTATTAAAAACAAAATAACAGTTCTGTTGAAGTAACAACATATACACCAGGATAAATATTTGAAATTGTAGAAACAAATAACGAACAGCTTCAAATTTCTCATTATTTTAACAGCTTAAATAAGTTACCCCTTTTTAGTCATTTTTTGTTAAAAATAAGTTTATTTAATTTTAAAGTAAGGTCAATGTGCTTTTGTTGCTTGTTTTAAAAGACAAAATACTTATTAAAAATGGCAGTTATTACTTTGCACCAGCTAAGGAATAACATTTACATTTGCCTAGATGCAACAATTTTTAAAACATACAAATTCAATATGAAGTAGGAAAACATGTAAAAAAAAACATATAAGGAGCTATGCTCCATTAAAAATATAAATGCACCTTGTATTGATTATATGAATATCAAAAACTAAATATCCTGATTTAAAAGTAGCTTCTATAAAATGTAATGGGCATTCTTTGCCTTACTGATATAATAATAATTAAGAAATAGTTCTAGCTCAGTTAACAGTAATATCAGTTTTTCTTAGCAAAAATGTAGTACATATATGGAAAGGTGGGTATTGACCTATATTCAAGTTTTCCAGTTTGATTTCCATTAAAATGTTTTCTACAACTTAGAAAAATAACACACAAAAGAAAAAAGATGAGGTAAACATTTTACAATTTTAAGAAATTACATGAAACTTAATTCTCATACCCAATGCCTACGTTCTAGAACGATGCTTAAGAAGGTCCTCCATAATGATGATAAGATAGGTATCTGAATCATATAATGAATAGTAGGTTTCTTGGTCTTCTCAGTAGGTAATGATGTTCTTCCCTGTTATTACAAAGCCATCATGACTAAGTTTTGCCAAGAATATTGCTTCAATGTTGGGTTTACATGAGGCACCATGCAACAGTAAGAGCAGCTACAATGCCATTCAAAATTGCCATGCTATAGCCCATGTGGAAAGAATGTCCAGTAAGTTTCCTGGTGGGGGAGAAACAAATGAAAAAAAAGGAAAATGTAACTGGGTATAACAGAAACACCAGCAGTTATCATTGAAAATGCTTACAACCTGGAAATGTGTTATACACTAACACAAGTTAAAAAAGAATATTGGACATCTGCAGGATTAGTAATATATCTTAAGTTCTCTGTCAAAAACTGTCCTGGTTCTCAAATATAATTTTTCAATTTCATTATTTAGAGCAAAATGCTCAGTTTGATACCTATCTTTACTGTGCTTCATAGTCACTGGGTATATCTTAACCTAATTCTAAGGTATACATTTTACATTACAAGCATTTCTTTCATTCATTAGCATTGTATTTCCCTGTTCTCTTATTCTCATTTTGAACTTAAAATACATATTATTTCAAGTATTTGTTCTGTTTGTACTCTTTTTAGATTATGTGAAGGACCTCTATTATTTCTTTGAGCACTTGCCCATGTTTGAGTCATAAATCAGATTATGTCTTTTACAGACGTTTCAGTTCTCAACCTAATAAGTTACTTAACTGAAGTGGCTTTTAGTGAGTTCCTAAGTATCAGTAAAGACACATCTCTTGTTTTATGGTTACTATGAATGCCAACTATCTTACATGCACAGATTTCCCCTGACATTTGTTCCCTCTCTTTTGTAGCAAATTTACTACATTTTCTTTCTTAACATTCCTCTCACTAACTATATTGCAAAAATACTCTTTGCTTAATCCTAATTTGGATCAGATATGCTAAAAAGAAAAAGTAGTATCTAATTGGTGTCCGAAGCAGAACAGAATCTTCTCACTGAAGCAATCCAAATAGATGACACATAGGAAAATGCACTAGCAGCAGTTAAGAGCTGAAAGTCATTAGAAATAAAGGCCCCTGGACTGAGAGGGTCATTGTGCCTATGTCCTCTCCTCCCTTCCTAAGGATAGGTCAAAGTCAGGAGGTACTTAGATTTGAATTAACATTTGAAGAGCACCGCACTATAATGATCCCAGGCCCACAAGATCTGTGGCAGAGAGTAAAGAAGATATACTCTTTGAAGAACCATCTCTTTGTATCCCCTCCGTCCTCCACTGCCCACCCCGCCACCCCCTCATTCACCTGAGACTACAGAAGATCCTGCTTTCTGACAGCTCCCTGTTCTGGTCCATGGGAGTTAATATTTGCCCTCTCCACTCAACCTGACTCACCTAGGGAATAGTTTAAGATACTCCTCATGTGCCACTAAGGGTTAATCTACCTATATGTATTATCTACTATATGGTAAAAAAGGATGTACTAAATGCTTTGCTCTTTTAAAAAAGAAATTCCTCAAACATATGTTGATTAGTGAACAGAAACTTAATTGAACTATCAGTGTTATCAGTCAAAAAAAACAAACAAACAAAAACCCACAAATGACCTAAGCACATTTAAATTCATATTAACAAAATAAAGTTAATCATGGAATAGAATTTCAGGGATTAATTGTTCTCTTTACTAGTTGTGACCTAGCACTTTCATAAAAATAGAAAAACCTCTAAAGTACAGTTTACTTAACTTTAGGAAATTACAATAACTACAATGTTGGTATAATTGAATTGCACGGAGATGTACATGCTGAAATGCTCAGTGACCCTTATAAAACAGGCAAAGCAAAGAATTTTAATGGCAATGAAGTTATGCTCCAGATCAGTGATTCTTAGTCTTTTTACCATCTCCAACGTACCATATTTCCACTTCAGGGATAGCAGTTGTCACAAATGTACTGCTTAGGCAAGAGACTTAAAAACTTTGAGCAATCATTTGCTTTAATGCTCCTTTTCAAACACCATGATTTTCTTCTTTGGGGGAAGATACAGACAACCCCTCACAGGTTTTCTCTCCTATGACTCTTATTTGTGATCTCTGAAGTCCTGTTAAAAAACTGAAGGTATCTTGGTTCCCCTTGTCAAACCCTTCATTTATCTCACATGTAAGAGTCATGTTTTGAATTGAAAAATGATGACTAACTATGATGCCTCTTTTACTCAATCTCTCTCTCTCTATATATATATGTATTTTACTTTTAAAATTAAAGTATACACAGTGCAGTGCTAATGCCTATCATGTATCAATGAAATCTTTATAATGGTTCACCCTTATGGACTCATCATCCAGATCAAATAAAGAACGTTTCTAGCACCACAGAAAACTTCTTTGTTCCTTTTGCCTGTCAATATCCACCTTCCCTCCTCCAAATCCTGAGATAACCATGATACTGTCAGCTATCACAATGACTGCTCTTGAAACTCCATCTACATGGCATCACATAGTATACTTCTGTGTCTATACTTTCACCCGGTACTGTCTGTGAGATTCACCCATGTTGTGTACAGCATTAGTATATTCATCTGTACGCAGTTTAGTACTCTGTTGTATAGAAATACTGAAATTTATCAATCCATTCTACTATTCATGAGTTTCTTCCGATTTCAGGCTACTATAGAGGTACTATGAACATAATGCTATGTACATATCTTTTGTGGATGGTAGGCTTTTGCACTCATTTTTATTGGGTATATTCTAGGAGCGGAATTGCTGGGTGATAAGGTAAATGTAAATTTGGCTTTAGTAGAAAGCATTAAATATTTTCCCAAAATAGTTGACTACTTTATACTTCCCACTAGCAATTTATGAGTTTCAGTTTCTCCATATAGTCACCAACATTTTATATTATCAGTCTTTTTAATTTTAGTGAGTCTGTAGAGTATGTTGCTGTGCTTTTGATATTATTTTCCTGATGACTAATGTACTTATTGCCCATTCAGATATCTTCTTTTTTGAAATTCCTGTTCATCTTTTCCTTGTTTTGCAATTGGTTTAGAGTTCTTTACATATTATATATACAAATCCTTTCTCAGAAATGTCTCATGAATATTTTGTTTATGGCTTGTCTTTTCACTCTCTTAATATCTTTTGATAAACATAAGTTCTTAATTAAATAAGGTCCAACTTATTTTTTAATGGTAATAGTACTTTTTTGTGGCCTTTACAATAAATCTTTGACTACTCCAAGGTTATAAAGATATTCTACTATTTATAAAGCTTTATTGTTCCTCCTTTGACATTTAGGTCTACAATTCATCTCAAATTATTTTTTGTATATGGTGTAAGGTAGAGGCCAAGGTTCATTTTATTCCTATGGATAGCCAATTGTTTCAGGGCAATTTACTGAATAGATCATCTTTTTCCCTTATTGAACTGCTGTGATACCTTTGTTCTAAGTAACATAACCTAGATGTGTGGGTCTGTTTTTGGACTATTTTATTCTTTTGGTCTATTTTTCTACTCCTGATAAAAAATCAACAGCTTCTCTATGTAGAAACAGCCAATTATGCTAAAGATCTCTCAAAATATCAAAAGAAAAACTAAAAAATCCTAGAAATGCAACTAATAATAATGTGCAAGACTCACATGAAGATAACCAAAAAACTTTACTGAAGTTCTAAATAAATAGGAAGATGTCCCATGTTCATGGAATTAAAAACAAAATTGTTAAGACGGCAATACTCCCTAACTTGACCTAGATGGTCAATGCAATTCCTCAAAATTCCAACTGCCTTTTTTTCTTTTTTCTTTTTTTTTTTTGCAGATATGGACAAGTTGATGCTAAAATTCACATAGAAATCAAGAGATTTCAAAGAGCTAAAACAATCTTGGAAAAAATTAAAAAGTTAAAAGACACACTTCTTAATTTCAAAACTTAATACAAAACTACAGTAATCAAATGGTGTGGTACTGGCTTATGACAGACATATAAGACCAATGGAACAGAATTAAGAATCCAGAAATAAACTCATTAATCTACAGTCTTAAAATTAAGTTTTGACAAGGGTACCAAGACCACTTAATAGGAAAAGAACAGTCTTTTCAGCAAATGGTACTGGGATAAAGGAATGTAAAAAAATGAATTTTGTCTTCTACCTCACACAACATATAAAATTTAACTCAAAATAGACCCAAACTACATGTGAGAACTAACCCTATAAAGCTTAGAAACATAGTTGTAAATTTTCATGATCATAAATTAAGCAATGGTTTCTCAGATGTAATATTAACAGTATAAGCAACTAAAAAAATAAACTGAACTTCATCAAATTAAAAACTTTTGTGCTTCAAAGGACATTATCTAGAAAATGAAAAGACAATCCACAGAATGGAAGAAAATATTTGCAAATCACATATTTGATAAGGGTCTAACTATCTAAGACATAAACTCTTAACTCAAAAGACAAATAACCCAATGTAAAAAGGGGCAAAAGATCTGAACAGACAGTTCTGCAAAGAAGATATACGAATGGCCAACAGGCACATGAAGGTATACTCAACACCTTTAGTCATAGAAATGCAAACCAAAATCACAGTAAGACAGCACTTCATACTCACTAAGATGGTTATAATACAAAAAAAAAAAAAAAAAAGAAAACAAGTATTGGTGAGGATATGGAGAAATAGAACTTTCATACACTGCTGGTGGGAACATAAAATGGTGCAGTTACTATAGGAAAACTTGATGGTTTCTCAAAAAGTTAAACAGAGTTACCATATCATTCAGTTCCATTCCAGGTACATACCCAAGAGAACTGAAAACATATGTTTATACGAAAATTTGTAACTGAATATTCATAACAGTATTATTCATAATAGCCAAAAAGTGGAAATAAACCAAATGTCCATCAACTAATACTAGGTAGACAAAATGTAGTATAGCCATACAATTAAATATAATTCAGCCAGAACAGAAATACTGATAAATGCTACAATATGAATGAATCATGAACACAGTTAAGTGAAAGAAGCCAGACATAAAAGACCACATTTTGGGGATTTGCATAATTCCATTTATATGAAATGCCCAGAATAGGCAAATCCATAGAGACAAAAAGTAGATTAGGGGTTTCATAGAACTAAATATTGTTCAACGAGAATAAAAGATATTAGAAAAAATATGGTTGCCAAGAAAGGCTTATTAT